CCGTCTCTGTACTGTTCTGCTGTGAGCTGTAGAGAACAAGAAAAGTACGTTTATGAACACGAGGCGTAGCCGATCGAGTGTTTTCTTGCTCTCGAGTGCTCTACAGCTTCCAGAATGTTATTGTAGAAATAGAGAACGCGCGTGCGTGCTGCTGTGTGCAGTCATAAAGCACGCGGGGGTTGGCAGAACAAGATAGGAGTGTTAGGAGAGGCACGACGTGTTGCGGAGTGCTTCTGGACACTTCTCGAGTGTTCTGCCAATCTCCAAGTGCTGCCCAACTCCACACAGCACAGCAAGCAAGTTTTTTTWATTTCTTTTATAAAATACAAATGACAATAACCGTTATTTCAGATAGGAATGACGCAACGGAAAGTACGCGCGCGTGCAATGAGCTCTCATTAAGCACGTTTCCAAACCAATCAGAACGCGATATTCATAACAGTTATTTTATATATCACAATACAGAGACATGAGCAGCCGTTTTATACGCTTTAAGAGAGAATCCTTTTTGTATTCAAGCAGTGAGCGCMAAAAACTATTTTCTTGAAGAAAGGCTGTTGTACAAGGCTAAAATCTTGTTATTCAGAAAGTTCAAAATGTCAAAAAATGATACCCTGCCCCAGACCCAAAGCGCCATCCCAGACCTGATTGGTGTCATCAAACGAAAGCTTTGGGAATCATGTGTGCTACCTAAGAATCCAGTCTGGAGAAATCGAGTGTGGCCAGAGTGTGTCGCATATCATTTGCGTGTAAATGAGGCGGAAATGTCTATGTCCACTATGTGCCTTTATCTTCTCGTCTATTGGGCTAATATYTTGAAAAAGATTCAGCCACTGCCATTCGCCGCCTGAAGAGAATCGTGAGAGAGGAGTTGAAACATGAAGCGGTAGCGAGAGCAAATAGAGGATGCAAGGCAAGAGAGAACCAGACAGAGAAAAATCGCAACGAAAACAAGTWCAAGAATACTTGATGATCAAATGAAATATGCTCAAAAACGAACACCGGAACAGCGAAGACGAGAAAAGATGGCTGAGTTTGTCGAGGCAATCAATCAATCAATCCTTTATTTGATAAAGCAGGTTAATATTACAGATATTGCAGATAGCAATAAATTCATYGGCAGCCGAAGGCTGATGTGGACCTGCTATACAGAAAATTTATAAATTGGCGAGATAAAAAGTATATAACAATTTAAAATATAACTATAAAATAAAATTTTTCAAAGGTGGCTGGACCCCCTCACGCTTGACCGCTACCTTCCACGTTTGGAACGCTGATACATAAACGTGTTTTATCCAATTGCAAATCTTTTTTGCACATAAGTCACATAAAGATTTAATTAATGTTGGATGCAGTTTTTAATGAGATCGGACGTCATAACACGTGATTATGATGAAATATTTGTTTTCGTTTAGAGAGCAATGTTAGCCTTGCAGAGCGTTCAACACTAGAATGCTTCGTACCACATAATTATATACTAGATGCCTCCATTTGTAGGGATTTTTGAAAAAATCTATCTAGCTAATTATGAGATATTTGAGATTATTTAAATATAGTGCATAAATCTACTTCAAAACTAATCAATGGATTTGATACGGCCGAAGTCAATATTTCAGAGCTATATATTCACAAAAGTCATTGCTCATTTAGTTTTACTCTGTATCTAGTTTTAAAAGGAACATTTTGAAGGTAATCGACTTATGCGATTTTCTGAAAACGTATAATACATAAGACGGGGGTAAACATTTGATGCGCACTTTTCATCGCAGTTTTCTAGTCAATCTTACTAGATCTTCCATTATTCTAAAATTCGCTGATAATTTCTCTCAGAACTACGTCAGGATACAAATTAGAGCTTAAACTAATATTACACAATATTATATTATCCAGTCGCGTAGGCTTGAGCCGGTCGACGACAACGTTTTTTGAATTGACTGTATATACACACACACACACACTTACATACATATACATACACGCACATATATATATATATATACGTCGACAGGTGAATCGGGTGACGACCAACCGGCTAAACGGAAGAAAAGCTAGAAAGAAGCAATCTATGAAGCCCAAGTAGCCCACAAGTCCATGTGTGAACAGGCCACGAAGAGCAYGGGTATCATGAATAAAGTATTGGCCAAGCTAGACAAAAAGCTTGAGGACCTTTAGGGTTGTATCGTCGTGTACCAGAATTGTCAGGGTAATTTTATTCAAATTCAAATTTCGAGTAATCGGCTAGTAGTCGTACCCTACAATAGCATAAATTAAACTATAATAAATATTTATGTCCACGCGCTGATGATACATCGTTTAAATATAATTAAAAAATGAGACCACCCAACCGAATGCGCTTCGTGGTCTAGGGGTTAGGTTTAGGGATGGGGTTGGGGTTAGCATAGTATTGGTTCTTTGGTGCCGAAGGTACCGAGTTCGAATCTTGGTGTTGTAGCGACTGACGTACCCCTCCCCTAGTGGGGGACAAAATGTGACCTGGAGCACGAGGCTAGTGTGTGTGCGAGTGAGTCGACTGGTTTTGTGTATGTTGAGTATGATAAGAGAATAAAAGGGAAAGGCAAACGTTACAGTGTCTTCACTTAATTTTTTTTCTAAGTGAGGAGAACCAAATTTTCTAAGTCCCACTCGTGTGTTCGAAAACCTATGACGTACTTCGTTAATCCGCACACGACGATAGTACCCCGGGGGGGTACTTCCCTATATTTGCTATACGGGTATGTGCCGCCCTATAGGGTATGGTTTTTCGGCTTTTGGGTCTGGGGTAGGGTATCATTTTTTGACATTTTGTCTGGGATAGGGTATCATTTTAGTCTGGGATAGGGTATCATTTTAGTCTGGGATAGGGTTAACGATTTGGTCAATTTTGTCTGGCGAATAGGCTACGCTTTCTGCCGGCACAAAAACAATAAATACGTTAGTAAATACTGATTGCAATCTGTTGAAAACCCGTCTCCCCCCCCCGGGATAGTACCAACTGTAGGAATAATTTTTCACTTTTTTTGAATTAATTAAAGTATTATTCTAATCCAGGTTAAATCCACAACCGGCAGAACGAAGCCTGGAAGTGGATGAACAAACAATGAATGGCGAGATAAAACAAAGAACGCAGCTCACATGTAGAACAATACACATCGTTCATTATAATCCATGATGCTTTCTTGTTTTTGTTATTTAAGCTTCGTTCTACCAGTGGACACCGACTTTGAAGCTTGTAGCTCTCATTGTTATGTAATCCCCTTTGCTAGCATAAATCTCCAAAAACAATTGGAATTACCATAGTAGAGAGAATAAGAGAAAAATATCAAATGCCCTTGGTAGGATTCGAACGCACGTCTTCGGTATTCTAGTCCGATGTGTTAACCACTACACCAGAATATGAAATGTAGGGTAATCGTGAGGATCCCAGAGCGATATTTTTTCTCTATAGATAAGTTGAACACCGTAAATATGTACGCAAAGAATAGACATAGTATAGTAGTAATAAATTATGCGTTCGGTGTGCATATAATGAAGTAGAGAGAACAAGAGAAAAATATCAAATGCCCTTGGCAGGATTCGAACCCACGTCTCTGGGATCCTCACGATTACCCYACATTTCATATTCTGGCTGCGTTACCAGCGTGGTTGGTCCTTGTAGTGTAGTGGTTAACACATCGGACTAGAATACCGAAGACTTGGGTTCGAATCCTGCCAAGGGAATTTGATATTTTTCTGATATTTTTCTCTTATTCTCTCTACTTCATTATATACACACCGAACGCATAATTTATTACTACTATACTATGGAATTACCATACCTAAGGTCAAAAAATGCCTTTCATATTTTTGACGAGGCTATGATTGGTTAAGAGATAACACTACGCACCCTGCTGACAAATGCTATTTAACAAATATCCTTTCAAGCTAGTTATTTTTCCAACTTCAACTGTCTCGCGATGGATAGAGTCTTCATTACACTCTCCGTGTTTTTTGCACTTGGCAACTTACTTTCAGGTGGGTGACCTTTACTTACATTGTAACGTAGTTCTAAACACAGTTTCTAAACTGAAGAGTTTTTACTCCGACGAAGGACTAGCGTCCGAAACGTCAGTAAGTTGTTTCATCTTTTCACGGTGTATAATTTACCTTTTCATCATTACAGTTTCTAAACTGTTTGACTTCACAGCCCGCTGACTAAGGTTCGGTTGGCCTATCAAAGAACAAACGTCACGCGAACAAACCCACAACTCAGTTCTAAAATGAAATGTTATCTTTATTGAAATTTGTACGATTCCAAGTTATTAAAAGCAGCCTTTATAATGTGTGCTCAAGGGTTCGAACAAACTAGTGAGATGGCGCAAGCATAATTGCGAGAGAATTTTGCCTAATTCTTTTAACTTGCTATACCGAGTCAAAAATACCTTGTGCTAGCTCAGTTTTTACAGCCCAACTACCTGCAACCGATAAATTTTCTCCAAACTCTTTACCAAGAATCTAAAGTTTTATGGAAATCGATCGATCTTTAAACGAACAGCAGGAGAACAATGCGAATATTGCGAAAAACCATCTGTTACGAAATCGGACCGTAACGGCAAACCCGACTAAAATTTCGAATACACCATTGAAAGCCTAAGTGTTTGACCTTAATACATGTGCTAAATTCAGAAATATCCGAGCGTATTTGACGCGATACGAAGGAGTAAAAAAAATCGCAAAATTCCCTCGCARTTATTCAAACTACTCTACTATGATCGAAGGAAAACCCATTGTTCGCTCAAAGGCGCTAGGACAGACGGATTGGGTTGTGTTTCAATACGACAACAACAAAAATAACTTTATTGTGCCCAAAGAAAGTAAATTAAGTACAAAAATTATCTTATTTGGTATATCAGTTGATGAGAGCACAGACATTTAGAAATATTCTAGTTTTAGAAACTAATCGAGCTCAATGTCTGGGCCATGCGGAGTAATTACAAGAAAAAAATAATCAGTTCAGAATTTTCATGGACAACTACAAGTCAGATACAGACGAACCAGACACGTATTGACATACAGTACAAACACTGAGCACAAAACAAAATGGGTGGAAGCTGAATTGTATCGGTGTGTTTGTTTCACTTATTCGTAGACATTAAAGAGTTCACTGATCAGTATATGTTTGTTTCTAAATAGATACTAGCTAGAGCTCACTTATCTTAAAAGTAAACGTCCTTTCCAACCAACGACCTCAAGGTCAAGCTAGCCAATGATCATTGTGATCGATTTACAAAGTGTGTTATGGTGGTTCGTGGGGTCATAGTTAATCGATTAACTATGGTGGGGTCATAGTCATAGGTAAGGGTAGGTGTGCGTTGTGGAAACCGCCGTAGCCTGCAAAGCGGCCCAAATGGGGAGAGGAGGGGGGAAGGGGTGGGGGGCCTGTGGAGGAGGGGCGTGTGTGATTCAAAAGCCGATTGTTCGCAAATATTATGAGCCACACTCATTGGGCCAATCCAAACATGTGTAAATGACATCAACTTGTTTGATTGATGGCTGTCTATTGCAAAGTGCACGTCACGATTTTCGTCTGGGGTGACCGCGTAGCAATGAAAACGCCGGTAAGAAAGTCCTTATCAACTATGTAGCACTACTGTCTTTAATGGCACCTAAATAGCCCCTGAGAATTAAAAGTTTAAGAAAATGTACTGAAATATAATCATTCTTTTTCCTTTTTTTTTTCAGAAATAGAAGCTCAATCAATTCCTGTGCCAACAAATGGGAGAATACAAGGACTGAAAGGAAGAAAATGTCTCAATTTCCTTTGGGATTCACCATGTGACCATCCTTATTGCATGGTAACTCTCAAGATAAAATTGCAAGGAGGAGGAAATGCAGTGGAATCTGAAATTCCTTCATATAAGCCTGATATCACAAAAAACAACGCATCTTTTGTACAGTGTATTTATGCATCCGCTGGAGAAAATGTTTCCTGTTGCAATAGCATTAACTCGCAAGCACATTTGACCAATGGGCATTCAGTGTCTTTTTCTAACTATGAAAACATAAGCTTTCACATTAAGGTCTGCCTTAATGCCAGTGGAAATTGTGTTTCTAAAGACCACGGGTTTGATTACATTCTCCCTTGTAAGTATGTATGTAGAAATGCAATTAAGACTCTGTCTTTCCATGTGTGAGTTAAAGCCTTGGCGTGCCAGTTCAGTTATTCTCATAACTGCATATTTGAGTTGTGTTTTTTTGTTCATTTTTTCTGAATACTCTGGTTTTCCCAAGTGCATAAAAACCAACTTGTGAGCTTAGTCTCCATAGTGAACATAGTACATAGGACATGGTAGTACTTGCCGATTGAACCTTGAGGAAGAGCCCCTCACAGGGAGTGATGGTCTAAAAATATTCATTTATACATTTTAATACTATATGTTTACTTTTGTAGGGTATAACCCTTGCAAGTTTGACAACCCATGCCAGAACTCTGGGACTTGCAGTCCAGGTGTTGATGCCTACAATTGTTCATGCACCAGTGACTGGGAGGGATATAACTGCACCAGTAAGTATAAATGTTCAGCTTTATTCAAGTAAAATGAATCGATCAATAAACTTTGTGTATGGACAATGACACTTGAACTTAAACTGATAAACTTGTGTGGTCCTCCTTTATCTCTAGGTAATAACGTTGATTAGGGATGTGAGTACCATTAGTGTAGTCATCCAAGCCACATGAAGTTCTAACTATTTACAGATGTAATTACCCTATTTCACTATGACGTCACTGCTTGTTTATGTGGGGGATAGAATCACCAAATCCAATAGAAAATTCAACAAAATATGCTCCTAGCGAAACAGTTTAATCTAAAATGGCCTGGTTCTCAGATATAACCGCCACCCTGTTAGCTCAGTTGGTAAGAGCGTCGGTCTGTTGTGCAGGAGGTCATGGTTCAAGCCTCGGCCGGACCAACACTCAGGGTCTTAAAATAACTGAGGAGAAGGTGCTGCCTTTGTAATAATATCTGCAAATGGTTAGACCTTCAAGTCTTTTCGGAAAAGGACTTTAAACCGTAGGCCCTGTCTCCTAACCCTTCCTAACCTACAGTAAAATGGGGGACATAAAAGAACCACTGAGGACATAAAAAGAAACCCTGGCAGTGACCACCCTCATTGCCTACACTTCATACTAACCATCTCTCATGCTTGTAAATTGCATAAAGCAATCTGTCATTCACAACTCATGTAAAGCGCCTTTGATTATATCCACATATTAAAGGGCGCTATATAAATCATAATCATATAATATGTGTTAATATGTACTAAAAAATATTCTGAGCGTTTGCTGGCTATTCTACTTCTCTTCGTGGATTGATACGGGTTTTAGAACAACTTTTGGTGAATTTGCATTGATTTGACCCCCTCCAATGACCATGATTCTTTGCGTTTAAACAATAGATTGTTTTGATGTGACGTCATAGTGAAATAGGGCAATTACAAAGGCAGTTCTCAGCTACTTACAGACCCTAAGTGTTAACCCTGCTGAGGGTTCAACCACAACCTCCCATACAACAAATAGACGCTTGTACCAGCTGAGCTAACTGCTGGCTGCCCAATGTGGCAAGGTTTTTCTCCAAGCAGTGCAATGTATTAGTAATGATTGACATTTATGTAAAACTGTCAAATGCTGTATTAGCCACATAATGCAAAAAAAAAATAGGCAGCAGATCGGAGAGGAATTAAGCTTTCACCATCCCTACTCCCAGTTGCTGAAGACCATTATGTAAACTAGATGTGACTAACCTAGTAGCTTAATAGACCCTTTTCAAGTTCAAAATTACTGCTGTCTTTCTTGATTACAGACTCATTTGCTCAGGTTAAGCCTTGCATCAATGTCTAATTACTTGCAAATACCAACGGTAAAGTACAGAATGCACAAGTTCAACAATACGAACACTTTGAAACTTGACRGACCTTGACTGGAAAATGTGAATATTCTTCACAAAATCAAGGCTTAGCCTGAGCAAATGAGTCCGTAATCAAGAAACACAGCAGTAATTATTGGAACTCGAAAAGGGTCTATTGTCAATCAGATGCATAAATATTGAGCAAGCATGACATTTAAAGTGTGTGCTTGGATCGTAAGAAGCCAGTTCTAGAGTTTGAAGTGTGGTCTTGTGTCCAGAGTTCTGCAGTTTTCCCCTCACTCTCTATACCAAACAGACCTAATTACATCCAGTGACAAAAATTTTCTTTCTTACCAATAACATTTTCTACCAGGTTATTTATGTTGGTTTTTTTTTGTTTTTCGTTTTGCCTTTTTATCAAGCTCCAAAGRGATTCACCTACCATGCTGGGAAATGTCTGGACTATTCGTCAAATACTGATGTCAAAAAGTACATGAAGACACTGTCTCAATGTAGTTCTGAGTGTACAAGCATGAGTTCTCCAAGGTAGGTTACTGAAAGGCATAGAGTTGCACATTAATTCTTACTGCTTAGGAAAGGTATGTTTTAATTAGGGGTCGAAAGGGAATTCCAGTGGATTTTTAGAAAATTAATGTCTGTTGCCAGTCCCCCTTTCACTCAGTAAGAAATTCATAACCTTCTTTCTAAGTCAACAAGGAAACAGCTTTTATCCAAATGAAAAGACTTGAACTTTCACAAAAGTTTAAATTTTTACTTCAGTAAAATTCCTCTCCTCTAAAGCCTCAGGCCTCCCCCTACAAACAAAAAAAAAGTATCTGCCCTTATTCTTTGATATTTTTTCATTTCAGCAATAATTAATGTAATAAAGAACTCTTAACAATAGCATCATAATTCCTTTACATTTCAGATGCAAATCATTTGAGTTCAAAAAGATGACATCTGGTAACCATGGCAACTGCACCCTTCGCGACTCTAATAGCCTGGTGCACAGTCTTGTGGCCTGTGATGCTGATCTTTATGAAATTAAAGGATATTTGGAACCCAGTAGTGGTACAACTGTTGCCACAGTAACCCGTCATCTCTTGGTCATGTTGGTTGCTAGCATTTTTTTTCTTGCAGAACACTAAGCAGTAGCTAAGTTGTGCTTGACCACATTCATAGATAGGAGCACAGGATAAGAAAAGGTTAAGTTATACTATGACAAGTCTCTACTTTTCTTTAACGTCACTCTTTTTATTTATGAATAAATGGTTCGTTTTGTCGACTCAAGAATTGTTTTTATATTACAACCTAGCACAATCATTTCAGGGTTAACATGGAAGATATTGTGTTTTGAAAACAACTTACTAGCATGTGGGAACAATTTGAACACACCAAAGTTTTAAATACAACCAATCTAGCATRCACAAGAGTATTAAGCTTGCGCAACAGGGCCAAACAAGCACAAGCGATAAAATCTTTAAACAAAACAAAAATAATACCCAACCCCCCGCCCCCTCCAGGCTTTTTTCTCTTAATTTCCCAGTTGCTGTGCAAGTCGCACACCTCTCCACAAATCCTGTATGATACGAACAATCCTTCAGTGTTCAGGCTATACTGAGCTACATAGCTATAGGTATGTTATACAGGGTATTCAGTTAGTCCATCCAACTGACCTAAAATAGTGATGTAGAACTGACGTCACTGCAAAACTGAGGTGACAGTCATGAAGCAAGTAAAAATTGACTAACTTTTTTTTCATTTGGTGGAAAAGTGACACCTCGATTCTGATTGGCTAACATTATTTAACAATTACTAATCAGAGCGCGCGTTCTTAGGATGTTGGCAAGTTGGTATTCTCTACTACAGTACTAATGTCAAAGTTGGGCTACCTGTGATTTTGATCTGATAGATGATTTCCACATCCATACTTCTGACTTTCTATCAGCAAGCTCATCATCAAGACTATCCTAAAATGATCTTTTCGTCGAAGCTGATAACATTTTCCAGGCTAAGCAGTTTTGATGGTGGGGCAAAATCGTAGCTTGTGACTGAATCCGCCATCTTGAATAAGRCCCCAAAGGACTACTGGGAAGTGTTTTTAATACAATATCGCTGTACAATTGGACCGCTCACTCATCTTTTACTTTTCTTCGCTTGCATTTATCTTATTACGAAAACAACATGACATTTTATCTGAAATTAAAAGGTAAAACGAACGTGAAAACGAAACAGGCCTAGTTTATTGCCTCGCTGGTTGTTCGTTTGATATGTCAACGAGACAAAAGACAAGGTTTGGGACGTCGTTTCGTTCATTCATCGGCTACGCTGGGCTTGAAGTGGTTAGCGATGAAGGTAGCCCCTCACACTGTAATCAAGCTATTAATAACACCAACAGCTGCGAGTATGCTAGTCAAGAGATCCACAGAGGATTAATAATGGATGACTTGCCCTCTTATGGTTCGTTATCAGTGAGTGATATGCAGCTATCTAATGATCAACAGGTAAGTTGGAACCAAAACCAACCCCCACCCCACCCCTCTCTCCCATAAACCTTAGTTTGAAAAAAATTATTTAGCTATTAACCTTACCATTTCTTTTGTGACATCCCAGATTTTAAGCAACTTGGGCATTTTCGTTTTTTAAAATTCAAAGCATGAACATAAGCACATAAACCAGGTTTTGAATCAAATTACCCACAAGGAAAGCCTGAGAATGAAATAAATTATGCAAATTAGATAAGGGCCGTTACACTTAGGCCCCGTCAACACGTGTCCGCAAATGTTTGTGTCCGTATCTGCAAATTTTACGAAAACGGATACGTGTGGACAGTGAAAACGATTTGAATACGCTGCGTGTGGACGCAAACATTTTCGTATCCGCAAAAAATAATTTGCGGATACAAAAATTTCCGGATACGTATGGACAGGGCCTTAGTTGGTAGTCGGGAAGGGGAGGGTTGGTGGGTGCACCTTTGGAATTGGCTCATTCATACATGACATCATTTACTCAACCCTATTGTTCTTGTCACTTTCACAGCCCAAGCTGGCTATTAGTGTTGATTTATCATCAAAATATAGTAAAAAATAAAATTCAGAAATTCATACATCATAGATATGATGTGCCATTTTAAATCAAATCTGTCATATTTTCGAAAATATTCCATCTTAGTAATAAAATGAATTTTCAGAGCTAGGGTATCAATTGAGAGTGGAGTGTCATTTTGATTGATTCATTGTCAAAAATGGAGGTCATCATGACATCATAATTTAAATAGAAAATGTAACATTTTATCAAGTTTAAGCAGTGGGTTAGCTAGAAAAAAAGACATAATTTGGGGCAATCATACAAAAATGGGCATAATTCTGGCTTTTTCCACGGTTCAGTGATTTTCATAGTATTTTAAGTAGTGTTTAATAAATGAGTAGGTCAGAGTGTTTTATCACCTGATGAAACACAATTTGCGAGTTTATTGAACAGCTTAAAACACTCTGGAATAATTCACAAACCTTTGGTTGAAGTTAGAGCGGCCAAAAACATCACAAAACTTGAATCTTCATAGATCGGTAGAGGTTTGTACTGTTATCAATGCACAGTGAAGTGAAGATTGTAGATGATACTGACCTAAGTCTTCATCGAAACTTGGGTGCAACTTTATCTCTGATGAAGTCGTCCTCGTTAGTATTCAAGTGATAATGACATGTACTGTATCATTATCACATTATTAATGAAGAAGATTTATCAGGTAAAATTAGGTAAATAGAGTACCAAAGTGGTGACGTCACAAAATATTATTTTCACTGTATCATAATTTCGATTTCGATAGGAAATTWAAAAAAACGCTAACACGCCAAATTTCAGAAGAATGGGTTGAATAGCAATTACAATTACGTAATGAACCAGGGGGAAAATACAATGATTTGTATGGGGAAATTCTATATTCAAACGGCCATATCTCCGTTGCTTCTTAACCGATATTCTTAAAATTTTGCTTGTTAATTTCTTTCTTGATGTTCCACAAAAATTGAGGATCGAAAATTGTCAAAAGCAAAATTTTGTTTTTTGCGATGTCACGCTTTGGTACTCTATGCATGTGACGTGTATGGTTGATCCACTTGGATTAAAGGCTAATAAATTATTTGTTTTATAGTCAGAATGTTAACCATTGATCATAGTAACATAAAATTTGTCTTTCTATATTTTCTTCCATGTAATAACAGACTCCATTGATCTGTCATTGTCAGTGTAACAAAAGCAGCGTCAGCACATTCTTGTCATTCTTCATGATGGTTCTTGGTATTATACTCGTGCCAGTTTTAAAAGAGGAAACTACACCAACTAGAAATGGTAAGAGGGAAATTATGGAACCGACGGCTGATGCAAAGGGATTCTTCTTGTATTTCTTTCATTCTATTTCCATTTTCCCCCCATTTATTCCCATTATTGCTTGTATTTTTGTCATCAATTTACTTTACTTTATTCCGTTCTATTCTGATTCACTTGAATATAAAGATTTTTTTAAACATATCATTTAGTATTCATTTTTGACAACTTAAGTTTTTATATGATTTTAGTATTGAAAAGATTCATAATTTCTGAGGGTTACTACAGTACTACTCAATGATCTTTGAACTCAGATATTTTGATTTTTTTGATTTATTTTCAATTGACTGCCGGGAAAAATCAAATTTGGTCATGCAGTTCACATTTAAACTACCGAGTTCACAGGACAGCGAACGTTTGAACAAGAGAAACTAAATAGAGCTATCCCAAATTCACTTGACTGACCACGAGACAATGGTTTGAAGTCGAGACTGACCTTGATTCTTTTATTCATCAAGTTCAACCTTGACTTGAAACCATTGTTTCGTGACCAGTCAAGCGAATTCGGGATAGGTCTATTAAAAAAATAGCATTATTAAATGATTATCAATTTTTTCTTTGTTTAGTTAGAGTCGTCTGTCAAGTCATCAGAGCAGCTGGATTGTTTGGCTTTACAGGTACTGTTTTAACATTACCATGGTAACAGTGACCTAGTTGCAGATAACAGACCTAGACAAACTTATCAGTTTGTGGGTTGTTGCAAATTTTATTAGTCATAATACACTCAACAAAATTACTTGATTCTGATTGGACAAAAAATCGCACAATATTCTCGTACGATTCGGAATTCATAGATACTCATAATGTTTTGAAAGTTCTCAAATTGGACTCGCCTTAAGACTCGTCCAATTTTGAAAACTTTCAAAACATCACTCGTACCTATAAATTCCGAATTGTGCTTGAGACCGTCTGATTTGCTGTACAAATCTTAGGTGGTGTTACCAACTGGACTGATTRTAGGATGTGGGGTGTGGGGTGGGGTCAGTAAGAGATTTGTCTGGCCACCTTTCATCCCTTGAACCTCTTGGCTCCATGAGGACCAACTAATCAGTGTGTTGGTCAACTGGCTGTTACACATTCTGTTTGTTTGGTAGGTGGTGTTACAAACTGGATTGCTGTGAAATTAATCTTTTCAAGAATTCCACGATTATTTTGCAGGTATGCAACAAGGTTGAAGGTTTTTTAATTTTCCAGATAACATTTTATACATTATATTTACAATTTAACATGTAAAAAAAATCTGTGAGTCAAGGTTAGACTTAATAAAATACAGTGGAACCCCGCCTTATGGCCACCCGCTTAATACAGCCACCCGTTAATACGGTAATATAGTGTAAATACTGAAAAGTTATTGCTGCAAAATCTGTGATTCTTTTATTCATTCGGTTAACATTCTACAGTAGAATGCTTTTTGTAGGATCAGAATCAACACGACAAATTCAAACAGAGAAACACGTACAGCGCGATGAGCTAAAGTATGTTTGCATTTATTTTATAGCGGTACAGTATTAAAACGAGCCATGCCGATAGCCTGTCTGGGGTGATATCCAGCCTCGAGTCAGTATGGCTTCAAAGGAAGCTTCATTTGTCTATACAGAGCAAAGTCAACTGCCTATTTTAAAAAGTAGTTGTTACTGTACTCAGTTTTCTCTGTTCTACTGTTATATCTACAGTCCTGTACTACTGTGTAATTTAAAGTTTTAAAGTACTACTAAAGTTGAGTTATAACTGAGCTCCAATAGCATCAGAAGTTTTAGAAACATTATTTAAAAATACAATATGCATTATTGCACTTAATTTGTTTAGTAGTTTCATACTGATTAATAAAACACGTTTTTAACATATTTTTGACAGCCTGCTTAAAAACGGCCACTTTTGAATGTCCCTTCGGTGGCTGGATTAACRGGGTTCCACTGTACAGTAAATGTATGAACAGTTCTCATACTCATTAATAATTCATGAGGAAACCATGGATCCTGTTACTCAACCTTAGCCTCGTCAGCGTGTAATATATTCTTTAGAAATTGCCTACAACCTGTGAAATTTTTAAGTGTTTCAATTGTTCGTTGACGTGTAAATTCCTTTCGTTACTGCGGACTGTAGTCAAATTCTGAAGAATAATTACACGCTGACAAGGCTGAGGTTGAGTAAGGGGATCCATGAAATGGCCTATTAATAACCTTGCTCCCTATAAATTATTAATGAGTATGAGAAGTCATTTCAAAGCCGCAATGAGGACTGGACGGGATTTCAAGTCTGCGCAATTAGTGGCTGTGCCTTGGACTGGAATTAATTGCATAGACTTGAAATCCCATCCAGTCCTCATTGTCGGCTTTGAAATATTACACCAAGTCCAACCTTGAGTTGAATCCATTGTTTCATGGTCACTCAACACCTACTCATATTTTGCCCCTATCTTTTCATTTTTTGAATAAAAAAATAATATAATGAGTCGGTATGAGAATCTTTTATTTTTGGTCTTCATGAATAATGTTACCAATTCCTGTCTACCAACATGCGTTGCCTAGTCTTCCAGTGACACATGAGCACCTACAGTAGTTTCTCATTCCTTCCTGTCAAGGGTCAATTATATTGCAGTGGCTTTAAACAGAAAATTCAAAGGCTTATTATCATGGTTTGCTTTAGTAAAAACAATATTCAATACAAATGTTTTCTCATAACAAACTTCGTGTCTTTCCAACTATATCATTTCCTTATGTGTATGAGAATATATATGAAATATATATTTGTACTGCTGTCATTATGTATCAAATTGAGCTGATCCTCGTAGTATATGAAGCAACTTATGCAGCTGCAAATTATTCAAAATTGAGTCTTAAAGACCCATTGCCACTTACCGTGATGCATCACAATTTGTTTACATTTTGAATCATGTCACCACTGAAAAAACAATTCTAACCTTTTGAATAAACTCTTAAAAGAATGTAAATGAATCATTTTTGTGCCTTAGTGCTATGTCGGAAAAGGATTTAATATGAAGTTATTATTCAATATATGAATCTTTGAATTTCATGGACCACGAAATTCATCTGTGACCACGGTGCATCACGATAAGTGGCAATGGGTCTTTAAACGAGCTACCAAGTCTCATACTGTATGAGACTTCAAGGACATATTAGGTGGGTTTATTGGCCCATTAGGAGAGATATATATAATTATGTGTATGAGAATATCTTATACCATTTCTTTGTTGAACTGTTGCACATGAGAAGATGCATGACTAGGGATGCAAGTTAAACAAATAATCTTATTCTCGAGGGAATAAGATTTTGGCTGTAATGGGAAAACATTGTTCCTCGGAAAGTAAGGTTTAYCTTAGAGATAATATGGTGTCTTGTCTTATTTAGATAATTCACCTTTTCGGCGCTAGCTTGGATTGTGTTACAGTCACCAAAAAGTTCGGACATCGTTCTCAGATTTCCATACAAATTCACTGACTTTAAAGAGAAAATTTAGGTAGATTTCTTTAGTTAGCTCTCTTAACAGCTGTAAGAAAAGCTTCAATCAAGCTAGAAAAATGATTATTTACTTGTATTTAGAGAACTAACTAAACATTAACCAAGTCAATAGTTCATTTAGAATCAGTACATTTGTACGGAAATCTGAGAACGATGTCCGAACTTTTTGGTGACCGTAACACAATCTAAAACAGTTTATACCCCGGACGGCTAGTGCCGAAAAGGGGAATTCCCTAAGATCCATACTTTGCTTATTTCTACATTTCCCATTCTTTTCATAGTGGTGCACTATTCAAGTACTTTGTAACTGTGAGAGAAGTTGTAGCTGACTTCATCATAGAAGCTTTCTTTTCTTCTTCACAAGTTAAGAGATATATGCAGAACAAAATATTTTGTTTACTGGATTCAGAAAACTTTGGTAAGCAATCCCATTATTAATTCCCTAGTGTTTTGTCCTGTGAAACATCATTACCGTGCAAGACCTACCCTGGCTCCATCCTGCCCCCAATCACATACACAACCACCTAGCAGGGGAGTGACTTACATTTATTACTATTGTAGTTTTCCGACTGGTTGCCAGCCCCAGAGCTGCAATGTATTATGGGAATGTAAAAGTGGTGAATATGGTATCTTACCATAACTTGGAAATTTTTCGCTCACTGATTGGCTTAGAACCATTGTCGGTTAGAGGCTAGACCTGCTTGTACTTACGACATCYGTCATGCGCACTGAGCGAGTGGATGAAAYGGCTTTTTCAAACTATTTATTTGTCTTTTTGTTCAATTCTTTTGACTTTGTTGAGTTTGGATCATTTTTGACGTCATTTCATGTTCGATTGCTGTTCAGACCATTCCGGGAGACCCATAGAAAACTGACTTGGATTTGTTAAATGTGATGTGACTACTGGCCAACTACAGTCATGTTTACCTGTCCCTGCCTGATAAATAAGTAATATACAGTGTACCCGACCCACTCAAACCTCCCAAGGGTTTTGGTTTACAGACAACATTTGGTCATTTCATTATACACCCTATGTACCAAGCATTATAATTCTAAGCGTTTTACTACCATTGAAGTGCAACAAGCAAAGTTTGATGTATTGTTTGCTGACTGGCATTTTAGTGATCATCAATGCGTTTTGGTTTCAACCGCTGACAATTAAACAACTACAATAAATAAACAATGTCTTGAGGGAGATTTTAGATCTAAAATCTTTTTAAAAGTTTTAAAATTGAGTACAAAATCTCCCTCAAGATATTTTTTCTTGCAGTTGTCTAATAGACCTCTTCGGCTTGGGGTAATGTTTTCCCATTTCAGACCACGTGTCATTCCCTTGAGAATAAGATTCTTTGTTTGAGCTGTATCCATATTCATGTGTCTTCTCATGTGCAACCGAGTGCAAACCTTAAACAAAGAAATGATACTCTAGGGAATGACATGTGGTCTGAAATGGGAAAACATTACGTCAGAGCGGAAGAGGTCTATTGACAGTGGTTGAAACCAAACTTCATGGGTTGCACTTCAACAAAATGGTAGAATATACATAACTAAAAAAGGAAATTTGAAAAATGTTAGTCAATAAGCCCAAGCCTCTTTGGTGATATTGCTTGCATAGTACTAACATGGAATCAATAGATAATACAAGAAGTTGTAGATTTGCTCTAATTAGAATAAATCAGAAGAGATAACTAGCTAAAAACTAGCTGTGTGAGCTGCGTCAGTGTTTCTAATGAAACAGTAATGATAAAAGGGTAAATTTTACACCATGAAAAATGAAAAAACAAACTGATGTTTCGGATGCTAGTCCTTTGTCGGAGTAAAAGAGCCAAAGAGCCTCTTTTACTCAATTTCATTTTTTCATCATTTCACGGTGTAAAATTGACCCTTTTATCATTAGAATAATCAGTATGGAAAATCACCGCCCAACTTCTATGTGGATAGAACTTTTTTCCATGTCATTGGCATATTTCATGTCAGTATTCCCATGATCATCACCTTTCAATGAAGTTTCACAAACACTAAGTTTATTTTAATTGTCCATTTTTTTCTCATTTTATTTCAGATCAAAGTCTACTTAATATCTTAAATTCAGAAAAAATAACAAGTATCGTAGAGAAGAAATTAAACTTGTTGATGGCCTCGCCCGAAGGTAAACCCTCCCATACTGGGTCTGTGAGTCAACACATTCCCAGATCAGTTGACCATTACTAGGAGCATCCATCTCCCATACTGGGTCTGTGAGTCAACACATTCCCAGATCAGTAGCCCATTACTAGGAGTATTCATCTCCCATACTTGGTCTGTTGGCCAACATATTCCTAAATCAGGAGCCCATTACTAGGAGCATCCATCTCCCATACTGGGTCTGTAAGTCAGCATATTCCCAGATCAGGAGCCCAATACTAGGAGCATTCATCTCCCATACTGGGTCTATGAGCCAGCATATTCCCAGATCAGGAGCCCATTACTAGCTGCATCCATCTCCCATACTGGGTCTGTGGGTTAGCATATTCCCAGATCAGGAGCCCATTACTAGGAGCATGCATCTCTCATACTGGGTCTGTGGGCTAGCATATTCCCAGATCAGGAGCCCATTATTAGGAGCATTCATCTCCCATACTTGGTCTGTGAGCCAGCATATTCCCAGATCAGGAGCCCAATACTAGGAGCATTCATCTCCCATACTTGGTCTGTGAGCCAGCATACTCCCAGATCAGGAGCCCATTACTAGCAGCATCCATCTCCAATACTGGGTCTATGCAAGAGCTAGCATTATTGTGCAGGATTTAAAAAAAGGTCTCTATCATTGCAAGGACGTTGTTCTCGTTTTGATGGAGAGCCATGCTTACCTTTCAAGGGACAGGGAACTGTGAAGGGGATTATTGAGTTAATTACTGTCAATAAATTTGTTTCATTCATAGGTCTTATGTTACAATCATTGGGAGTGACCAAGTTAAGACTCAGGCCTGTGATAATGAGTTATATCACTGACATGCGCAGTTACACCAGTCCCTTGGTAAGTCCCCCCCTGATTCAGTGTTTCAGTTGAACACCTGTTGAAGATAATATTTTGACTGCATATTACACCAGATAACATAAACTACCATTGTGTAGTTCCAAAAATTATCCATACCCTCCTCACGGAGGAATTTTTTTAAGACACCCCCCCCCCCCCCCCCCCCCCCCGTGGTTCGAATTTTCTTCCATAAAAACTCTGTAATTTTTGTTCTTTCTCTGACCCCTACCCTTCGGAAATCAAATTTCAAGATCCAAATTCCTCTGTGGGGTGGGTATGRATAATTTCTGGAACTACACATTCACAAAAAAATGACAGGGAAGCAGGGGTGGTGTATTTGTGAGAGCACTTGCACATCACCAAGGCGATTTGATTTCCGAACTCGGCGTCGTATATGAGTACAGTTATTTGTTGGCTCTCCTATGCTTCGAGAGTGTTTTTGCAAGTTGCAGAAAACATTGCGCGTATAACACCCCCAAGAGAAAATGAACATTCTCTTGGCCCCCTCTTTGCAAACGTCAAACGAGCTTCTACTTTTTTTGCAACGTTGCAAAGCAAGTTGCAGCGTGTAACATCCGTCCAGCAACCTGCAATGCCCCTAAACACTGTCACAAATGACCAATCAGAGTGTAGCTCTTACATATCACCGCTGACATATCTGGTTTTATCGCAGACCAAGAAAACGTCGCGTTGCAAGTTACGTTAGCTACGTGCTAAATGCTCAGTCATTCGTGACAGGCGGTAAAAATAATTTTAATTTAGCACGTAGCCTCATACTGAAACCTTTGTGCGTGACAAGCGAAGCATATCTCGGAGGTGGGCTATTAAGAAAGGCAGTTGCGAAGAGAGGAGATTGGGTCATGCTTTCATTTTTTTCCTTTCCTTCGACAGCTTATTGCTTCACTTCAGTCATCAGAGCTCAGTGACACAGAGAAAATTAGAGGGCAGGTAACAGCGATATAAATAGACCATTTACCCTACAATACCGCTGTGTTCCTTAATTACAGACTCATATACTCAAGATTAGCCTCATTTCAGCGTCAAGAATCTCCTGAGAATTGGAAACCTATTGTTATGTCCTCAAAATAGACCCCTTGCATGTGACGTCAAAGCAACTCAATTTGGAGGACAAAACAAAAGAATTACAATCTCATGAGAATTGGAAACCTATTGTTATGTCCTCAAAATTGATCGTAAGCTGCATTCCAACGTGCTGCAAGGGGTCTATATCGTCTCATAATCAGGGGTTGCTCGACCAATCACACTCAATATTCAATCAAACTCTATATTCAAGTCTAGAATTATACTAATTACAAGTACCAACGGTAAGAATGCACAACTTCAACAATATAAAGACTTTTACGGACGTTTACTGGAGCACATAAATATTCTACACAAAATTTCTTTTGGTTTTAGATTATTGATGTTATTGCCACAAGAACTCAACAGATATCGCCACAACAAGTACAGCAGGTAGGAATACTAACATGATTCAATAGAGTGTTAAAGGATAAAGGCAAACTCGTAGCCGTACCGTAACCGTAACCACGCGTTGTGATTGGATAAATTACTCGAAGACAATGGAAAGCCATTTCAATGTTAAGGCATTTCGTACCGTGCTGTTAGTCAGTACCGTATTTTTTCCACTCATACAATAAGCATTCTTATGGAAAGCCATTTCTATGTTACGGCATGTTGTACCGTGTGTGTGCTGTAAGTCAGTACGGTATGTTTCCCACTCATACGGGAACCATTCTTATGGGAAGCCATTTCAATGCTTAAGGCATTTCATACCGTGTATGTGCTGTAAGACAGTCATTACCGTAAGTCAGTATCGTATGTTTCCAACTCATACGAGAACCATTCTTATGGGAAGCCATTTCAATGCTTAAGGCATTTCGTACCGGGTATGTGCTGTGAATCAGTACCGTACGTTCCCCACAGTACTCATATATACGATAACCATTCTTAACATAAAGGGAAGCCATTTCAATGAATGTTACGGCATGTCGTACCGTGCTGTAAGTCAGTGCTGTAGGTTACCCACGCATGTGAAAACAGCTCTTATATTACTGACCACCCTCAAAAGTACCTTACTACTAGTAATTGAGGCCTATGCTAACACGGAAGGGGTTAGCACATAAGAGGTGGGTTTTTAATTAATTGAGCGTACCGCGTAATCGAGTGGACCGCTGAGTCACCATGAAAACAGCAAGTACGCTTGTTGTTATATCACTAAGTCACCATGGTAACACTACGCTTATTCCACTCAGATGCATGACGGACTGTTCTCTTGTTTCTTGCAGATAATCACCGAGGCTTTGTACAAGTACCTCTCTTCTCTTGTGGTTTGGGGGAATCTTTTTGGTGCAATAGTGGGCTGTATTATCGAGGTTGCTTCAATATATACCCGGGGATTACCACGTTAGTAATTTTCAGTTATCTAATGCGTTTACCACTCCTGGGTGGACGGCTTAATGTCTTACAGGTTTTGCAACCCAATTGATAAGGCAGCCGATAGATCGAATTAGACTTTAGAAATCGATCTTTGTGAAGGGAGGAAAAACCGGAGAACCCGGAAAACCCTCGAAGCACAGGAGAGAACCAACAAACAACTAAAACTTAGATACGACACCGAGTCCGCCAGGGCTGAGTTATGTAGTGTTTCTCCGCACCTCTCAGGGTTCTGAGGATTTCCCGCGTTAATATAACTCAGTATAGCACAAGACGAGTTTTTTATCCCTTTTGTAAATCTTTTATTGAAAAAATTCAAATGAAACAGATTTTTTTAGCAAAATGAAAATTTATTTGAAGGCGTTCATGATATATAACGCTTGTCCTGACACCATAATATCAAAAACTTTCGCAAGAAACGGCTAACACAGGGTTCCCGATTGAGCTGATATAACTATTCGCCGCCTTCCATGCATCGGTTTACTGGTCACACACAATCGAGGCTGTTTGAAAGGATTATTCACATTTTTACCTTACAGCCGGTCTCGATTGAATGCTGTGTGTTTAACAAGTGAACCAATGTAAAGAAGGTGGTGGACAAAGCTTTTTCACTCACGTGACAAGGCAGCCATATTGGTGCACTAATAAAAACTTATGCATAGTTTTGGCATAAATAAAGTTCAGTTCCACGAGGATAGAAAACGTATTTTTTTGGTACACCAACATGGCCACTGTGATGTCATATCATATACACCTATTTCAGAATTCGTTGTCGCACCAAACGCCTCAAGCAACAAGCCAAGACTGCAGAGAACGCCGGTATTTGTAATTAGTTTATTTTTATTAGTTTATTATTATTTATTAGTGCATTTTTGTTTATTGACTTCACAAATTGCTCCAAGCAAGGCTGCTTGAGATGATAATTAGTGGAGAGCTATAACCACTTGCATGAACTATGAATAAATAAATTATAATTAAAAGTACCGACGTTCTTTGGAGCCTTGGCTTGTTACTTGAGGCTCTTGGTGCGACAACGATTTTCGAAATAGGTGTATATATATTGAAGAAATAGTAAACGCGCGCGCGTGCTAAGTGCAGTTATGAAGCTGGCAGAACACGAGAGAAGTGTTATAGGAGAAGCGCGACGCGCAGCGGAGTGCTTCTCGACATTTCTCGGGTGTTCTGCCRATCCTCAAGTGCTTTATGACTCCACACAGCACAGCAAGCAAGTTTTTTGTTTGTTTTATAAAATACAAATTACAGGAATGACAAAACTGAAATTGCAGGCGCGTGCTGTGTGCTATCATAAAGTACGCACTCCCATCCAATCAAAACGCGGGATTTAAAGATGTCTATTTTGCATAATAATAAGATCCCACAATGCACTTTACAGGATATAAATGAAACTAAATCACTTCCAGGCCTTTGTAGTAGTTTCTCTCTTGTAACAGGGCCCGGTTGTACGAAGCCTGGATAGCGCTATCCGGCGGATGAATCCTTATCCAGTGGATAAGTCGATGCTGTTATCCAATAAATGTATCCACTGGATAAGAGTTATCCATCGGAAAGCCGCTATCCAGGCTTCGTACAACCGGGACCAGAATAATAACCTCGTGATTACCCATCCACAACGGCGTGGTGCGTCCTCCTATAGAGGCTTTGCAGCATCACGTGATTGCAGCCATGACAAAAAAATCTATTGTTATGTGATGGCTGCCAACACTAGCCTCCTTTGCAGCCGCTGTGAGGCGCTTCCGGTTGCCGTCATTCCCCCACTAACGTCTGCTCAAACTTTAACAACATTTTTTTCAAAATTGACCAATCAGAGAGAACCCCACAAAATCTTGTGGGTATGACTTTGACCTTGGTACTGTATTCGGCGTAGTCTTGAAGGTCTTTCAATCCACTAAGTCTTTCTAATATACATGGAATATCCAACTGACTTCTACCAAATATTCTTGTACGGCTTTTCTTAGATTCCTCCTTCTTACATATAAGACATATATCGTTAAAATTCGAAACTTTTTTGGTCGTATTTTCCACATTTACGTGATACATGTGCAAATATAAACTGCAATTTTTCTTATGCCATTTTGCACGGGGGAAAAAAATTTGCATATCACCTAGCAATTTGATTGGCTAATAGAAAACAATGAAGAATTATGGCGGCTCTTCAGCAAAAACTTCGTTATGAAGTCTTGCTAAAAACAAAAGAAAAGTTCGACTGAAAACGCCTGACGTCGAAATGCAGTTTGAGGCTTTCGGCACCTAGCAGGAACGTCGTGCTAAACGTGGTCTCTATCATTAGCACGAATACCGCTTTCTGCACTATGGACAAGCACCTAAATAACAAAAACGTTTACGGAACGCGAGGTAAACATTCTAGCTATATTACATTTTTCTAAGATTTTTTCTTAATGTTTAATTAGAAAGACTACATTAACGATGAGCAATGGAAGCCAAGCGTTTGTAAACATTTTGGGGAAATTCTCTTCTTTCCCATATCCTATAATGCTTTGCTTCATGGGGGGTAACCAATCAAAAACCTAATTTCCCAAATTGAAACGTTCTTCAATCGAATATATACTATATCTGCTTTTATCTGTACAATAATGATTATCAGTTTATTCCAAGTTATTCTTGCGTGTACAGATCATGAAGAGGTTTGGTCTTACAGAAAATGTATTGACTTACGAAAAAATGCTTCTATGTTTTTCTGTATTTTACTTCTTCATCTTATATTTGGATATCAAACGAGGTATTTTCAACATTGCCTGATAAGCCTTCCGCAAAATAAGTGCGGTTTTTTCCTCTGGAGTGGTGACCCCCAAAGCCGCAAAGTATTATAGGTATGGGAAAGAAGAGAATGACTATTTTTGTATGATTTTTCCCTATACTTTATCGACTTCGCAAATGCCCTGTCTCTTACCGGGCATCTTGCTTGACTATATGCCAGAGACTATTGTGAATGTGAAAGCGGTTTTTGAATCAATTATCTCCATAAATACTTGCAGAAAAGCGATATTTGACGCTTTGTATTTTTGTTTTTCACGATTCCATTTCAAGAAAAAAGACTAAAATAGCATAATTTCAATTTTTATTTTGAAAATTCATAGCTTCTCGTGTTTTGAGCTTACTTTGTTCAAGCTTCACAATCTTACCAATTTCAATATGCTCTTTCGAGTTATATAATAATTCTTTCGTCTGCTTTAGTTCTGTGAGTTTTGGAGAACTTTGGAATCACTTAGTGATAAAAGCTCATTTCTCCCGATGGCAATGATTGACAAGTATCAATCAAAATCATGCACCCAAAGGGGTTTGTAAAGCATGTGCTTTTGGTGTTGCAGCTTTCTTCCTAGACTTCTTCAATGAAAAAGATTTGTGATCTCTCAATATTTATGCTCTATTAGTACCAGTACAAGCCATTCAAGGGAGTGATTAGTTTAAAAATCTGCCTTTCTTGAGTGTAAGGAATCATTTGAAAATCTCTTCAGCTTTTTTTAATAGTTAATCTGCAGGGTTTTCAAAATTGACTATGCTCAAGAAAAATCCACCCACAAGAACAGCTCCAATGTGCACAAGATGTCGAAATCACGGAGAACCATTCGTTCGCTTGAAAGGACACAGAAAAATGTGTCAGTGGAGAACTTGTGAGTGCGACATGTGTATTTTGATTGCCCAAAGAGGAGGATTAAATAGAGAAAAGGCCAAGTTAATGGAAGAAAGAATCGTTTCTAATAAACGTCTTCGTGGAAAAAGAGACAAAAGCAGAGGCGACTCGAATGACGACTACAAAAACGACCAAGAATATAATCCAGGTTGGTGAGTTATATTTATCATATCTGCAGGTTACAGATATGCAGTTTGATGCTAAAACTGGATGTAAGTCGTCTTTCGATCGATTTTCATATTCCACTTGATTTGATTTTAAACTTCGTAGCTTCAACTTGTTCGATATAAAGAAAGCTTACATGTAAGCTTATATTGAAAGGAACACCGATGAAAAATGAAAGTTGTTTTAGCGTGGATCGGCCAGTTTTGATCCTCAAAGTAGTCCAAATTGATAGCCAGGGTTTCTTTGAGAGAAGGAATCAAGGTTATAGAAAAAAAAACCAGCTTAAAATGAGTGGAGAGAAGCAAGAAACTTCTCAACTCCACCATCATTAATAAAACCCTTGCATGTGACGTCAAAGCACTGCTCAATTTGGAGGACAAAAGAAAAGAATTTCAGTCTCCTGAGAATTGGAAACCTATTGTTATGTCCTCCAAATTAAGCTGCATTCCCACGTTTTTCCAAACAAAACTCGTCGCAAAAGTTTAAATTTGGTGTTTAATAAATTTTAAGTTATTGTCACTTTGTTTCATATTTTTCATCAGAAAACGTTGGAAACAAAACGAAAAATAAAAGAAAAAGTAAGCCAAAAAAGTTAATATATGATCCTAAATATGGTAGTACTTTATCTCCAACACAACCAACAAGTTTATGGCTTCCTGTGATACCACCACCCAATGAAGCTCCCTTCTCTAAACCTCCACCATCTTACCAAGATTCAATCAGGCCTCCGCCTTACCAAGAATCAAATACAGCTCAGCAAATAATGTTTTGTAAGGATCCGATAAGGCCCACACCTGGATACCCGGGATATCCCTTGTCCTTTACAGATAGTATAGATACTCTTCAAGACAATCAAAGTTACTGGACGACACCCTTTAGAATTTTTCCAGAACCTTTTTTCGAAGGAACACAAACATCTCCTCATTCTCCGAAACCTGTAGCTTATGATCGGGAATTTGAGTCTGGAAAACTGCAAGAATTACAAGTTTCTCCAGTGTTGGGTGACCACTTCAACTTTGGCCAGATAAGAGCAGGAAGTGGTAGCGCAAATGATGGCAGATTTCAGACTCTGTCACGCCAAGGTGTTTCTAGATCTCCAAGCTGTGGATCGTTGCCATGGCAGAAGATATCCCCTGCATCATCTACTATGCCTACGGTAAGGACTGGTCAATTTTGATACCATTGCATTGCTATCATTGTTATCATTATTATTATTGTTATCATGATCATGATCATGATTCATCATTTTTATTGATATTTTCTCGATTTCGATACCATAGCATTGCTAATATCATCATTATTATTGTTATCATCATCATTAATGTGATTCATCATTTTTATTGATATTTTCTCGATTTCGATACCATAGCATTGCTAATATCATCATTATTATTGTTATCATCATCATTCTCATTATTCATCGCTTTTATTAATATTTTAAAAATATGTCGTAAAGAGAATATCATCATCAATATTATTACAATATCTCTATCTCTATCAATGTTGTTTTCAGTTATCATCATCATTATCATTATCACTACCATCAACTTCATCATCATCTTCAGTATCATTCTTAATAATAATAATAATAATAATCACCATCATCACCATCTTCATCATCACCATCATAATCATCATCACCATCACTATCTTCATCACCATCATCACCATCGTCATCACCATCACTATCTTCATCACCATCTTCATCATCATCACCATTATCACCATCATCAACATCATCATCACCATCTTCATCATCAACTCACCATCATCATCATCATCACCATTATCATCATCATTGCCATCATCACCATTATCACCATCATCATCAACATCATCACCACGATCTTCATCATCACCATTATCACCATCTTCATCATCATCATCAGCAGCAGCATCTTCATCATCATCAGCAGCAGCAGCATCTTCATCATCATCATCATCATCTCCATTATCGCCAGCATCATCAACATCATCTTCACCATCTTCATCATCATCAGCAGCAGCAGCATCTTCATCATCATCATCATCATCTCCATTATCACCAGCATCATCAACATTATCTTCACCATCTTCATCATCATCAGCAGCAACAGCATCTTTATCATCATCATCATCATCACCATCATCATCATCTCCATTATCACCAGCATCATCAACATCATCATCACTATCTTCATCATCACCATTATCATTAGTACTATAAACACACTTATTATTATTATTATTCTAGTCATTGTTTACATAAATACATCTATTATCAATATTATTAATAATTATTATTCTCACTTATTTAGGCCTACTATACAGGTCAGATGATGTCCAGCACAAGCACCAAGCATTAGGTCTTCTGATTCGTCTTACATGCGTTACATGATTTGGTACATTAACTGTACTTAAGGGACCGTTCCTTTTTTACTGGCATTGGAGGAGGAGGGGGGGAGGGGGGTGGGATTTGTGAATTGTAAATTTAAAAATGTATGACCCCTTTTGGTTGCCCTACCTCGTGGACCCCCCTAGATCCAACCAGCCCGATTCCCCCTAAAAATATTTGCTAAATCAGGCATTTTGTCAGATACGTTATGACAAAGCCTTTTGATTATGTTTCATATGTTGATTTACAGCTTATATAGCATGTTACTAATCACAAACCGTTAATGGAAATAAAAATAAAATGTCCCACACAATAGTGCTTGTCCATTCACTCTCTCAATGGAGTTAAAAACCAATTTGACTCCTTCCCCGGACGGATGTAAAAGGGACAGGGCCGTAACCAGGGGGGACCACAGGGTGCACATGCACCCCCCCCCCCCTCCATAAAAGCTTAAGGTCCGCTCATCCATCTCCTTTTGCTTTAAAATTGCATGTAAATGTTTTTTGATTAAATGAAGACCACTTTCCATCTGCATATTATAGCATTTTTAAGAATCACTAACCCATTATTCTTTTCTTTTGGGGGGGGGGGGGGGGTCTGCAAATCATTGCCTGTGCACCTCCCCTGCAAGATCCCTGGTTACGCCCCTGAGGGAGGATATGAATCATTTTAACCGTCCTAAGAGAGAGAGTTTGGGCGTTGTCATGGTTTAATTTAAGCCCTAAAAGATATCACTTTGAAACACGAGATAAATCTTTTCTTTAATATATTTTAAGATGTGCTAAAAACCAACAGCTTTTTCTTTTTCATCCCTAAAAGAGGGAGTGACTTACGATTTCAGCCCCTAAAAGATACGACGATCATCTCCGCCCTTACTAATATCATAGTACCACCCAGCACCACCCCGAGGACCACCCCGAGGAAATTTAACAAATCTTAAAATACGATTTTATAAAAATGACATGAAAATATAAAGGAATCACTTTTCATTTGTCAAAAAAAGACGGCTTTTGATTTTCCTAACTGCCTTTTTTGCCTCTATTTAGTTGTATTCTTCTAATTAGTTTTACCATCCAAGCCTTTCCATTCAAGAAATAAAATTCATCCTTTGAAAGAGTTCTATCAGATATCTTTTAGCGATAGCATATTTCGTTAATGGTGGTGGATATGTGTTTTTCCATCAAAAGGGATAATAATAAATAATAATTATAGATAATAAAGAATACTTAGACATTTTCGTTGTGACAAGCAAAGCATATTAGTCTTTCAATAGTTGCAGAACGCGTTGCATAGTAAAGCTGTTTTAAGGAACGCTTATATACTTATATGACGTCATTTTCGCTTGCTCATAATGAAAAGGTAATGCAATGCATTCCTACAACTCCAGAAAGGCGCGCGCATTGCTTCTAGATCGCCTGGAAGGATTACCACGTGATAACAGTTGCTTTAGGTTTCTTGCCTACTTATGAGCATGCTTTCGGGGATGTTGGCGTTGACTATTATGAACACATGATAAAGTATTAATACTCCAGTTTTGAATTCTCTGTTGTGTTAAGTGTTAGCCTCGATTTCGTATGGAATTATTTTTTTAGGTGTTTTCTTTTTGTTGTTGTTGTTGAAGTCGTGAATTTTTATTTTTCTGTTTGGTGTTCCAAAATAATTTTATTCTTGCACGATACATGAAATCTCACAATGCTCTTACAGTAAAATCAAATAAATGAAATATATATATAAATATATACATACACACAGCCATATGCAAAAACTTTGACCCTTTTGTACATATATACTAGTATGTCAAAAGCACATCAAAAATTATGGGATAACCATCTCTGATATTTTTCTCAGAAAGCCCTAGTGGTAGGCAGCCGGAAAAAAAATATCAGCGATGATAAYCCATAATTTCTGATATACTTTTAAATATACTTGTATATGCACAAACGGATCAGAATTTCTTCATATTGCTGTATATATATATTTATAAAATAAATGTTATAAATCTCGCATTCTGATTGGTTGGGGGCGCGTGCTTTATGAAAGAACACAGCACGCACGCGCCCTTTACATTTTATAAGAGAAACAAAAAACTTGCTTGCTGTGCTGTGCTGTGTGGAGTTTTAAAGCACTTGGGGATTGGCAGAACACGAGAGAAGTGTCCGCTACGCGTCGCGCTTCTCCTAACACTTCTCTCGTGTTCTGCCAGTCCCCGCTTGCTTTATAACTGCACAGCACGCGCGCGCGTTTTCTATTTCTTCAATATATGCATATGCAAAAACTTTGACCTTTTGTAAGTATATTGCTATGCCTCCTGTTTCTCTACGACTTCTCTCTGCTCTACAGCTCCAATCGTGTTTATATCACGGTATATAGACACGCGCGCCGTTTTATATTCCTTAATGATAAGATGTATATGTATAAACTGACTATATGAATAATGATTTTTAAAAAAACAAATGGCGTACACTTGATAGCTAGCACACTTAGCCTGCGCAAAATACTTGAAGTTATCTTTCAAAATAGACAGGAGAACGTAACTGTTCGGAATTGAGGGGAGGGGAGGGGAGGGGAGGGGATGGCTTTGTCCCAAGGGGACTGGGCAACGCTGTTGACTACACAGTAGCAACAGTAACATACAGTATATCCAAGCGAATCAGAAAGAGTAACGAAAGGTCGCGTGCGTGTTTGGTGAGCGTTTCAGCACTAGTCACTCATGCAGGGGTGTGCTGTATTTTTTGTTGTTGGGCTACATGTGACTCCGTTTTCTATCCACAGGAAGCCCAAAAATAAAAACAACGCCCCCCCCACACACACACACATACACACACATACACACTACCACTACCATCATACTCACGGTTTATTACAACACAACACTTTACACGAACATATTTTTACTCAATGACACGCTAGAAAACCCAGGGTAACCTCGGTTTACTCTTCGTTAATGTACCTTGCACCCGCCCCCTGTTTCTCTGTATCTCTGTTTTGCATGCGGCACTGTCTACCCTACCTACACCCATGATTGTCTGTACCTCTGTCCTGCTTAAAGTGTATATCAAGAAAAAAAATTATTTTCAAAATCACTTATATATGAACAGTGTAGTAGTATGGTTGCATGCGGCACTGTCTACCCTACCTACACCCATGATTGTCTGTACCTCTGTCCTGCTTAAAGTGTATATCAAGAAAACAAAATCATTTTCAAAATCACTTATATGTGAACAGTGTAGTAGTATGGTTGCAGTATTTTTGTATGTGGTCTTCTCTTTTCAGAGATATAAACATTTGAAATATTAATATGCAAATGAGATGACGTAAATTCAAGAATGGGTTACATTTTGCAGTGTAATTTACGACAAGTGTTCTGAAGTGAAATAACCTAAAAGTGTACAAAGACATACATTTCAATCATAAGGATGATTTGCAAATGAAAAAACAGCAGTACTTTCCAAAACAGCATTTTTGCATAATAAATTAGTCTTGAATTTACGTCATCTCATTTGCATATTGATATTTCAAATGTTTATATCTCCTGTACCCCTGTCTACCCTGCATCCCCTGTCTACCCTGCACCCCTGTTTATCCTGCACCCCTGTCTACCCTGCACCTTCTGTCTACCCTGCATACCCTGCATACCCTGCACCCCCTGTCTACCCTGCACCCTCTGTCTACCCTGCATACCCTGTCTACCCTGCACCCCTGTCTACCCTGCATACCCGGTCTACCCTGCATCCCCGGTCTACCTTGCACCCCCTGTCAACCCTGCACCCCCTGCCTACCCTGCAAACCCGGTCTACCCTGCACCCCTGTCTACGCCGCACCCCTGTATACTCTTCACCCCTGTCTACCCTGCACCCCCTGTCTACCCTGCACCCCCTGTCAACCCTGYACCCCCTGTCTACCCTGCACCCCTGTCTACCCTGCACCCTCTGTCTACCCTGCA